GCCAAGCGTGCCTTTGTTCACTGGTACGTAGGGGAGGGGATGGAGGAAGGCGAGTTCTCGGAGGCTCGGGAGGACATGGCTGCCCTAGAGAAGGATTACGAAGAGGTTGGTGTGGATTCTGTTGAAGGGGAGGGTGAAGAGGAAGGGGAGGAATAGATTAATCCTCTTAAATCCCTGCAGCATGTCCTGTGTCCACAAAAGTTCATCTTAAAACACTTAGCTTACTTGTTAACTAGGGAAGCGATGGATGGTACCACAATGGTATGAAGGAGCCTTTAAGGAGTACAGCAATCTGACTAGTTCCCACTGTTTCAAATTTTGATCATGTCAATTTTCCATTCGTCTTTGTAAACATATCATGTCTGAAATAAAAAAGGCTTTAAAAAAAGAAGATTGCTGTGTGTGTCTAATACAAATAGATCATGGGTCCCAGAGTTCAGGTGGAGTCCAAACTGTAGGCCCACAGATCAGCCGTTCCAAGCTGCTCTGAACACCTGGCTAGTTCCTTCCCTAATGCTTGTGTCCTTCAATGTTGGCTTCCTTCAAAGACTAAACACCAGCCCGGTGGCAGGCATGTGCCTCCCGCCCCTCATTCCACTGAGAGCCACTGAATGAGACTCCGTTCTTCCCTGCTTTAAGCCGACCTTCTGCCAGAGCGCTCCCTCATGCTGCTTTTAACAAGCCTGGTTGGTGAAGGCGCGCTCAGCTGTCTGCTTTCCTGCTCTGCTTACAGGTTTCAGACCTGTCTTGAACGCTAGGCTGTACGATGCTCTTAAAGCAAGCTCCATGCATTGAGCACTTGCAATAACCCAGCAGAACAGAGCTCCAGCTGCAGTGTGAATAAACCAGGTTTTGAAATGACTGTGGGTCTCTCACCATAGTCACGGCAGCTGAACAATCGGGTAAAGACTCACAACTTCTGCCTGAGGCAGGAGGTAGAACAGCTTTCTTGCAGCAAAGGATGTTGGGAGATGCTGTGCCACAAACTCCAAAGTGAGGCTTGGCTGATGGGACGTGATCGGGCCTAGAAATTCATAGCTCAGTATCTCAATTTCCCTTCTAATAAGCCCTGAGCTGCTCTCGGACGGCAATGGCCAATAAAGACGTCTCCTCCAAACCTTGCAGGCTGGATTTTTATAACCTGCAGAGTGGAGCAGTCTGCAGTGTTGGGTGTTAACAGATGAAACTAGGATGGTGATAAAGCATCTGCAAGGGGGGGGGGGGTGGAAGGTGACTTCCCCTAGGGGCAGTTTATTCGGTAACTACCTGACAGGCTTTCTTGCACCTTGCTCTGAAGCATCTAGTACCAGTTGGCTGGTGATCGCATGACCGGCTAGGAGCGGGTATGGGGATTCCTCCTGCCTAGGGATTCTGCAGCCGCTTTCTGCCAAGGT